CAACTCATGAAACAGGTTCAACATCAATCATGATTCTTTTTCTGAGAATAATCAATGACATGCTCTGTTTTATGTACAGATGAAGCTTCCATGGACTTACATTTCAATGACGTCCCAGCAAGGCATGTTAGCCTTGCCTTTGTGTTGGCCTCTGCCAACGGAGTAGGCTTCTCGTTTCCAATCATCCGAACATCCCAGATCCTTATGATGCCATCAGATGAAGCCGAGGCAACTAAAGTGCTCGATTCAGATCCGTCATTCCGGTTATCGAAAACGACAATCCCTTTTACACGGGTTGAATGAGCGCCCTCGATGCGCGATGAAACCTTGCCGGTCGACAGGTCCCAAGCAGTAATACCACGATCCTCCCCTCCGGTGTAAAGAATTCCATTCTGGCACATACATGATAAAAGATGTGGGCAATATATAAAAGCAATGGAAGTGAAGCTAAATTGCTATGACATTAAGAGTACGCCCATATTCGTGTGGTGTTTCTACTTCTAGAAGAAAGACTTATAGCATAAAGAATAGAAAAGCAATGGAAGTGAAGCTAAAGCTCTACTTCTAGAAGAAAGATTTATAGCACAAAGAATAGAAAAGCAATGGAAGTGAAGCTAAAGCCCTATGACAGTAAGTATCTGAAGATCCACCGACTTCACAAGGGGAAACAGAACTGAGTCCTGATAGATTGACCACAACATGATGTTATACCTATGAGCCTTAGGGCTGTGAGATAGCTGACCAAAGGTCAAATTTGCATTGGACAGGATAACAAATTTGCATTGGACAGGGTAACAAATTTGCATTGGACAGGGTAACAAATTTGCATTGGACAAGGTCATGGATTTCGAGTCGCTCGACTAGTTGCGACTAGTCGACGACTAGTCTATGAGTCGCAAAAATATGGTCGACTCAGCTTAGTGTCGACTCGTGACTCTGAGTCGCGACTAGTCACAACGCAGGCTCGACTTCTTCCGAGTCACTGCCCCAGAGCGACTCGAAAACCATGGACAAGGTAAACAATTTGCATTATGGGCTGTCAAATGGCTAACCGAAGGTTTGCCAAATCAGCATTGGACAGGGTAACACTTTTCAAGAACTTCTCAAGCCCTACACAGTACACTATTAACCAGCCATAATCATCTAAATCCTAGGTAAGAAACTATTACTCCTATGGCCATGATCTTTTTCCTAGAGGAATCTATTATCATGACATGATTAACTATGTAGGTGGTTTTTCAGGAGCAAATGTGAATACCTTTGATGGAGCTAAGGCGAGAACCCTCTTGTCGCAGGGCATCTCATGGATGATCCTGGCGTCCTCGGAGTCATGCACGGTGACCTTCTCCTCGGCGGCCATCACAAAACGGTCACCGCCGGCGGCGTCCTCGGCGTAGGCGACGGTGGAGGCGGCGCGCTCGAGGCGGCAGGTGAAGCTGCGGCGGCCGCGGAGGAGGTTGACCATGGAGAGGCCCCCGGCGCGGCCGACGGCGAGCGCGACCCGGCCCGAGGGGTGCACGGCGAGGGCGTCGGCGGCCTCGCGGCCCCGCGGGAAGACGCGGAGCGAGGTGAGGAGCGCGAAGCCGTCGGCGTCGTAGAGGTGGAGCAGGCCGTCGTCGGAGGCGGCGAGGAGGTTGCGCGGGACGGGGCCGATGGAGTGGAAGGCGAGCGCGGAGACGGCGGCGGAGGGGTCGAGAAGCGGGCCGAGGTCGGCGGCGGCGCGCAGGTCGTAGAGGCGGATGGAGTCGTCGGCGCCGCCGGAGGCCGCGAGCCCCGCCCGCGGCGCGGCCGCCACGCAGCGGATGGGCCCCGCGTGGGCCGGGTAGGAGAAGAGCGGCGCGAGGGGCTGGGCCTCCTCGGCGGCGGAGGCGGCGAGGGCCTTGAGGGAGAAGCCCCAGATGAAGCGCTCGTAGGAGCCGGCGACGAGGGCCATCGGAGACGGTGGGGAGGGAGCGAGAGCCAACGCGCCGCCGCCGCCGCCGGAAGGGTTGGGGAAGAAAAGGGGAGAAGGGTTTGGGGTTTGGTCGTTTCGCGGTGCCTTGTGGGCCAGGACATATGGCCACCATCGCTGCACGAATCACGAGGAGATGAAATCCCACGTACGGGTGCTGACAGGCGGGCCCTGCTTGGACTATGCAAATTCGTGTTCTTGGTTGCTTTTCCTCGGTGTGTGATGAGCAGTTTTTCATAAAAAAAAATAGAGAAATAATAATACTTCTTCCTCCGATTCATATTAATTGTCGTCGATTTAGTATGAGATTTAGTAAAAACTATTTCTATAACTACATGTAAGATGTTTGTGCAGTTCAACTAACCTGCAAAAGGTGTTTTATATTTATTTAGTTACAAAGGATGTACGTGACAATGATTTTCACATGTTTTAAGGTAATTTAAAAGTTTTGAAAAAAATTTGTTTTTACCACTCTAGTTTTGTTCCACTTCACTTATGCTACCCTATAATTGATATTTCACTTTTGCCACTCCTAGCTTTTGACAATTCTGATACATTGTCAAAAGCTAAGAGTGGCAGAAGTGACAGGATTTTTCTTGCCTCTGCAACGAAATGACAATTGAGATTTCAAAGTATAGTGGCATATGAAAAATGGGCAAAAGCTAGTAGCAAAATAAAGTTTCCCCATTTTAGAAGACAAATACAACAACAATATTACTGTATATGCCCTGAAATGACTGCTGATAATAGTACCGACAACATCCAGTGTGTCGGCACTGTTTGTTCTTCTACTCTCTCTCCATCCAGTTAAAGATCTTTGGCTTCTGGACCAAAAAACTTGGAATCATGATTTGGTTTGCTCCCTTTTTCAAGAACCTTTGGCCTCTCTTATTGTGCAAACATATATTATTGATGATGATAGTTCGGATAAGCTTTGTTGGGATCTCACTCATAATGGTATTTGTTCTCCAAAATCTGCCTATAAACTTTGTTTGCATGAAATTCAGGCCATTCCCCTAAATGCACCTTCTGCTGTTCCTTTGGATCTCTCAAGTCTTCTTAAACTCATTTGAAAACAAAAGGATATGCTGCCAAAAGTTAAAACTTTTGCGTGGAGACTGCTTAGGAGGGCTCTTCCTACGGGGTTGAGGGCTGGTAGATTTTTCATTCACATTTCAAAAAATTGTTGCCGATGTGGTCAACAAGAGGATGAGTTCCATCTGTTTTTCATGTGCTCTTTTTCTCATGCGGCTTTGTTTTCCTCTCCTTGGTTTGTTCATTCGGATGCTTTAGTCCAGGGGCATTCCACCTTGTATCATGTTCTTCTTGATTTTCTTCGCATGAGACATCCATATGGTTCTCTTCCTAACATTTTTACATTTCTTTGGTGTCTCTAGAAAGGAAGGAATGATTTTCTCTTTGATAGGGCGAAATCTCTTCCTCATCAAGTTCACATTGCTGCTCTTGCGTTAACCTCTAATGTGTATGACAATGCCCTTCTCTTGAATCAGGCTCCAACTCCAACTCAGTTGTCTTCTAATCAAATTCCTTTGCCTGGCAGAACCCTTAGGTCTGATTTATTGGTTGATGGGACTAAAATCTATTCGAATGCAGCTTTTAGGACCAAGAAAATTCCAGGTTTGTTGCAAGGACATGTTGTCACAGGTGTGGGGGTCTTTATTTCCTTACCCTCTAATCGAGGAGAGATCAATGTGCAAGTGCAAGCTTCAGCTCCTCCAACTTCTACTCCTCTGCAAGCGGAGGCTCTTGCACTAATTTTTGCTGCTTATTTTGCATCTCGACTCAACATTGCCCGGCCTACTTTTCTGACAGACTGCTTGGTATTTACCGGGGGCTGTTGCTCTAGATAATGTCTCCACTTCTGAAACTCCATGGAATATCAGGAAATCTTTGGCTAGTTTTTTTAAGACTACTTATCAGCTGCAGCCAAAGGTGTTTCACATTTCCAGGGAGATCAACGGTATTGCTCATAATCTTGCTCAACAAGTTTTTCGTGCTATTGGCGACTCTCGGCTCTCTTGTTTTGCAGCAAGACACACTCATGGTCTTTGCCCAATACTGCCTCTTCTTGAAATTTTCAGATTGAGGGCTTTAGAATTCATACAGTTCACTGTTATTAATTTTCTCCCTGTATGTTTTGGTGTGGCAAGTTTTTATCACAGTTATAGATGGAAGCCTGGGCATGTTCTTTGTTACTTATTGAGCTTTGCCTTCTCTCTGTACTATGCATTGTGCTTGGCTTTTTATGTACATCAGTTTCTTATTTTGCAGGGTTTTCATCCTGGTTGCAGATGTATTTTGCTGTTTCTACAGGACCTTGATCTGCTTGCTTCAAGAAAGATGGTCGATCAGTAGTGAAGCAAAAGGCAACAACAGTTCCTAGTTTCAGATTCAGTGTTCCTCTGCTTGTTCTGACCATGTTGATCATGGTGTAGTGGTCATTTCCACTTTGCCTCATATAGGGTCTTTCTTCAACTCTCTTTTCTAGATACTGCTACTACTCCTCTCTATATCTTCAGCAGATCTATGTAATTCTCTTTGTACTTTCTCTATGAGCTGAATGAATTTGACACTTCGGTGCCTTTGCTTGTTCAAAAAATAAAGTAAAAATTGGAGGTCTAATTTTGTCCTCGCTAAAAAAATATTGAAAAATATGATAAAATTTACAACATTAAACATACATAGTACAAAATATGTTTAGTATAAAGTATCTAATGAAACTAATTTGATGTTTCAGGCGTTGATATATGCTGCAACATGGCTTGAGCTTTCATCTGCAGCATCAGCTGGGCACTTGTTTCTTTTGGTGCGTGGTCCTCTTTTACTTACAAACGAATGCCTGAACAAACAGGCCAGTAGTAGCATTACAACCCTAGGTGCAGCAAGCTGATCCATCTGCTCATAGGGCACCATACACACTGCAAATGCACCACTATTTCTTTTGTTTCTGTTGGCTGTCATGTTTCCATAACACCGTACTACAAAATGACATACATACATACATCATCAACCTGCATTTCACCGTTAGTTACCAGGGAAGCCGGTAGCTGGCCGCCTGCATCAACGGGTGCGCAAAGTACGCGCCCAGGGTCAGAGCGACGATCGTGATGTACGGTAACCGGATGAACTCCTTGTAATAATCTTCAGGCAGCTTCTGCCGTCCATCAACGATCGCAGCGAACGGCACGACGCTGGTCCTCTTCTTCAGGACATCAAAGGCTTCGCCGTAGCGTGACGCCAGCCTCCTGTCGCCGTTCCAAACGCCGAATGCATGGTGGCCGATCAGTCCGACGGAGGCCGCCACGGCGACCGAGTTGCCGATCCACAGCGTGTGAGCTAGGCACCAGATCACCTGCCCAACAAACTAAAAAGGTAACTGTTGATTAGATAAAGCACGTATTAACATGATGCACAATAAAGAAAAGGAGCTTCAAACTCCTAGCGCAAGAGTTTCATGACCCATATAAGTATATCTTTATACCTGTGGATGTCTCGTGATGCGCATTATTCCAGTTTCCCACATGTGTAACTTTGGCTTGTCCACGGCTGCCACTTCCAAAAGATTGAAAGTAGATGGATACAGAAACAAGAATGAGATGAAATTCGACAGCCAAACAAGCTCATGGACGCCTGAGACGCCTTTAACATCCCACAGCTGAACACCACCGTAACGATGATTTATGAAGTAGACCTGCAAGTTATATAGGACAACTTTCTAAGATACAGGAAGGCTTACCATCTAACAAAAGGAAAAAGAAAAAACAATATACAAAATACTCACAATAGTGCTAAGAGCCAGAGGTAGTGATATTCCAGCAAACAGCACGCGGTAAGCTCGCTCGCCTATTATTTTCTCACCAGTTTCACGTAAGCTTGCCATGCCACTATGGACTAAAGCAAAGATGAGGGTAAGGAGCAACAAAACGACCTGCAACGGAGATACAGATGGTAAAGATATGTATCTAGCTACATGATTACAATTAATTGCCAAGCTAAGAAATAGCTGGTAGAGTATAAATGTATTTTTATGGATCAGGATGCCATCAAAGCAATAACATGAACAACCCAAGCATTAAAAGGTGAGTATAAAGCAAAAGAGCAAGAAATGACTAATGAACCGGATCATATAAATGATTGCAATGCGATGCAATTTAGCACGCCTCCCATTTATACCAGGCCTATTAATCTTGTCTATAGTCAAACCTTTTAAAGTTTGAGCAAGTTTCTAGAAGCAAATATCAAACATATACAATATGAAATCAATATAACTGGATCTATCATGAAATTATATTTATTAGTTACCATAGGTGTTGATATAACTTGGTCAAACTTGAAAAATTTTGAATTAAGACAAGATTAATAGGCCTTGTAAACATGGAAAGAGGGAGCATATATGATTGATGTTGAAAATTATTTCACTGCAAATGCTCAGTGCAGCCAAAAAATACCAACAGAAGCATGCTATTACCGCAGGTGTTGATATATTTTCTAGGAACTTGGTCAAACTTGAACAGTTTTGAATTCAGAAATGATTAATAGGCCTTGTAAACATGGAAAGAAAGAGCATATATGATTGATGTTGAGAAGTAGTGTATTTCACTACAAATGCTCAATGCAGCCAAAAAGTACCAGCAGAAGCATGTTATTACAAATCAATTTGGATTCACACATACAGCATATTTACTTTGATTCATTAGTTGTACATTTACTAGATTTACACTAGTCTTACAAATATGGACAAATTGTGATTTTCTCAAACATATAGCAAATCAAGTGTAATTCATACCAGGCGTGCATTTACTAACCAGCAAAAGATGTTTTACTTGGTTATTGTTAAAATACAGGGAGTGCCATCATTGAGATATTTATTGAGAATTGGATTTTAGTCAAAATGAAAACCATTGATGATCTAAATTGCTACAGTAAGTCAACGAGCAAAGGCCACACACCTAAGTGCGCATCATTTTGTATTAGAAGAAAACATCCAGGTGACGTCAAACTTACAGCCGAAAACAAAGGCAAAAAACAGAAACAGCCAGGAAAGAGAAAAGAAGAAGCAGAAGATCGCAAAACAAACTGCACAGCTAAACTACTCCTATCCTACTGCTTCTCAAACATCACATATTCACGCGGCCGAGCTTGTTGTGGAAAATCCTCGGGGCCTCCATTTTCATGAGGATTAAATCAACCCGTGACTGCACCTCCGGCCTTGCTCTGTTGAAGTGGCAGCCGTTCCAAAGACGCCAAATGTGTCATATCATCCAAGAGATCAGGGAGCGTGCACGCTTTACCCTATCAGCCCTGTCACACTTTTGCAGCATTCCCCAGCCACGGCACAAGCTTGTCGCCTGCCCTGAGGGCATTTGGATTACCGTGAAAATTCTCCCAGCACCTTGTGCCGGACCGCTTTGAAGTCAAGCCACTCAAAGTGATGAAGCTTCGAAGTCGAAGCCAGTCTTTGGAGGCGAGCAACAAGGTGGTCAAATATGGAATCAAGGCGAGCTACAGGGAGGCAAATTCAGTTGCTGACGGGCTTGCTAAGATGGCTAGAATGTATGGTAGTACTAGTTGTTAGTGGACGGAAGAACTTCCTATAGTGAGCTGGTTCCCCTCCTTTTATCTGATGTAATTTTGATCATCAATACGTACAAAATAAACAGGGGTTCCAATTTCAAAACAAAAATACCAAGGTACTTATGTTAGTTGTTCTATCTAGTACTTTAGAAACCACAGTGCGAGCCCATACAAATTCTAGTACTCGAGGCAAGAACGTGCCCAAACCATCCCAATCGGTCAAGGTAATCGTTAGTGTATTACTGTACTTAGCAGAGCGGAGCGAATGAATCATTTGCTCCATGTAATACAGGCAGGCAGAGAGTAGCAGGGAATGGTTCCTGGGGAGACGCACCTCGGGGCTGTCAGAGACGGCGGCGACGGCGTCGACGAACCCGGTCCCGACCCCGGTGGCCGGGTCGATCCAGAGCACGTTGAGCCCGTAGAGCACCACGGAGAGTATCCCGGCGAAGTAGGCCCACGACGCCACCCGCTGGTCGGCCAGCCGGAACACGGCCGCGTCCTCCCCGACGAGGCCTCCCGCCCCGCCAGCGTCCCCGTCCCCCTCGCCGTCCGAGTCCTCCGCGTCGGCGCCGCCGACCCTCGCGCGGACCAGGGCGGGGGAGACGACGCGGTGGCGCAGGGAGGAGGACGCCGCCGGGGACGGGATGCCGAGGAGGGGCAGTCTGGGCGGGCGGGGCAGGCGGAGGCGGGGGAGGTGCTGGTGGTGG